TGGATATTTAATAGTGCATTTCCCATATTTTAGATTACCTTTGGTGTCATCTTTAGGTAGTTTTTAAAAATAGTAATACAATTAATAACAGTGTTAAATGTGATATTTAGAATTTTATAGATATTTATCTCAAAATGAATATCTATTTCACACTGTACATTATAATCAGGGCTTGACATTAACTTTTTTTGTTTTTACTAGTGCACTCAGCATTGTCATTGGCCACAATTTTGACATCGCTACCATGGAGAAAAACTGCCACATAGATATTTTCAATATAATCTCATAATTTGGCAGCAGGTATATAAGCCTGCTGTCACTTTAAGACCTGACAAATGGATCCATTTTACTTTTACACATGCGTTTTTCTTCTTAAACCCTTACGTTCACTTAATGCATAACTGAGTTTACGTGAATATTCACCAAGACCAATATTTTGATGTTAATTTGTGTGTATTTGACTGTTTACGTGCAATAAAAAGTGAAAAATAACTAAATCTAGTACTGAGAGGTGGCCTTATGTGCACTTTGGGTGTGAGCAGAAAATCTCTGGGAATGAGTTAAATACCATGCAGAAATTCAAGCCCTGTGACAACAAAAATCATTCGGAGAAAATGAAACGACTGAGAAAAAATTAATGAAGTGCACAGATAAATCATTTATAATAAACACTACAATATTACATATAAAAAGAAGATCTGTCAAATTTGATTTCATGCCGACTTTAAGATTTATCAGTTGTCAGCCAATATTCAGTATTGGCCAGAAATATAATATCGATGCACCCCTTGTAAATAAATATTGCTGTGAAAAGTGCTTGAAAATTTCATTCTGTATTTACAACCAAAAAAAAAAAAAAAGCAAATTTGAGGAATATAGGATATCCTGATTTTCTTTAAACTGCTCAACTGGCGTACCTGTTTTGGCATTTGGCCAAAATTGTTGATATACCCAAGGACAGTACTTTTCACGACAGGATCCTTCATGGTCGCTCTATCGTGTTTGTCAGTGTAGAAGTACGGGTGAAAGGTGTTGAGGGCCTCTACTGCAGGCGAACCCTGCTGTCTGTAGCCGAAGACCAGATCAATCCAAAGATGCAGGCGTGCACTCACGTAATCGCTCTCAAGAGCCTGAGGAGAGTGCAAACTCGGTCAGTCAGCAGATCTGGATGGGTCTAAAACACTATAAGTGATGCCGTAACCTTTATTTCTGTAGCAGTGCAGGCGGAAAAGCTTACACATTTCAGGTCAAAGAGATTGCACAATAATGCATTTTAAAAAGATATTATTCCATCCGGGCGACTTGAACAATTTGAACAATCTGATCTAAAAATGTTATTCTAAAAGTTTGCATGCCTATTACATGTTAATACCTGTATTTAGAAAAATATTGGAAAAATAACTTATTTTAGAATTGGTTAAAGAGCCCAAACATAACATACACATATACACAAAACAACAAAAATCACTTAAAATAACAAGTATAATCAAAGCAGCTCTAAGTCACATGCACTAAATTGTGGAAGATCCCTATATTGCCCTTCATTTGCATATGAAGGAAAGCGAGCGGACAGAATAGCTCATTTTATGCTATCTGGAAATGATACAAATATTGCTATGTAGATTGGGAACTGATAAAGCCTGGTCCTTATATGCCTACAGGCATAACATAGTGAGAAAGAAAGCATTCATTCCAATAACCAGCAGGCTTCTGTAATGGAGTTATAGGAGAGTGCAGATATTGTACTTGCGCTGAATTGGGCCTGTTATCTTCTAATTACAATGGCGTTAAACAGAGTAATGGGGCTTCCTTGATGAACTCAACAAGTGCTTATTATCTCAGGAAAGGCACAAAAAAAAGAAAAGAAAGCAGCTACAAAAATTATTCAACTATTGCCAAGTTTAGCCTGGATATGAATGGTGCAGTGACACTGATACTGTTTAACCCCATGCTTGTTTTCATGAAACTTGGTATGTGCTCTGATTGCACTGGCATCCATTGTCTTATTAGAGTAATTATAGATGCCTTTAAACTAGAATTAGATATTATGAGGTTTGTTGTCCACAAAAAAGACCTATTTTAAGTTAGATGGACAGCCTTGACCAGAGAAACTGACCTCTCTGTGTACTCTGATGAACTCCTGTGGGTCTCCTTTCGCCCAAGGTGGCAAAACCACATCATCTAACGATGTCCCGTCCTGCATGCAACCTATATTATCAATACACACATTTACAGACTTATGAAACAGGTCGTAAATCAAATCATATATAAAAAGAAAAAAAACTGCATTTGTATTCAATTGTTGAGCTAATACTGATATATTACCAAAGTCAAATTGGTTTGAGTTGACAAGAAAGTCTGGGAGGTAGAAAAATTCTGGAATGAGCTCCCTAACATCACTCATATTGTCCTTAGATGCAGATTCCCACTCGTTCTGAATGCTGTGGAACATCCGCTCTGGGACATCAAACGCTCCGCCCTGCAAAAAATAAAAATAAAACAAAATTTGAAACTCTGAGAAAGGGAGCACTTTTTCTAATGTTATTTGAAACCACAATGAAAAGGATTCAGAGCAAGGACAATTATAAAGTATGAAAAAGACATTCCGTCATGTGTTTGTTTAATGCATAAGGCTGGGAGCTTCACTGCCAGCTAGCCGAGAACACTAAAACGGCCCCATGTGTGTATGAATCACAGTCAAGGAACAACTGCTTAGATTTGAGACATTTTCAAGCAATTGATTCAGGCTTTTTATTTTTCAAGGGATTTATATGTCCTGATGAAAATCTCTGGAGAAGTTATGTAATTTGCAGGAAAAGCAAATACCCTCATTGAATGAAAGTAATATACTGTTAGTGGTACAAATCTGATTATGAATATTACTGTACGGAGGAAAGCTGCTCAAGTTAAGCAAATATCATTGCAAAGTGTTATCCTAATGTGTGCATTACGTTACACCGGCTATCAAATATGCATGACATTTTATTTTAATCAATTGGTTCCACCATGTGTATAAATGAGATATTCTTTAAAAATCTAAATGCGGTTTTGCAAGCAAGTCGTGCAAAATAATTTATTTGCATACATATTAAAATCATACCCTAATTCAGTTTTGGAAAGAAAAAAGAAAAAAGCGCACCCCATCCCAAACAAGGCCAGAAACAATAAAGCTCGTTTCATCAAGTAACTTCAATTTAGAAAAATTGAATTTTATAGGAGACATGTTTTGTGCTTCATTTGATAAAGAAGAGACCAAGACATATTATTCATCTCAGTTTCTCACTCAGATGTACTGTTATTTGAGTCTGAGTTTACCTGCAGCTGGATGAAGGTCTGGGTGAAAGGCTCCATCCTCACCAAGTATGAGGCCACTATGATGGCTGAGGAATAGTGTGTGCAGTAATGACACTGAGCCGACAGATCACCTGCAGGGGGGGTTATGAAAGAAAACAAACAAAAAACACTCATAGGCTTCTATATCTGCAGGTGAAACCGACAAACTTCATGAACTTAAGCTACTACTGTATATGAGAGAAAGGTCTCAGTAACAGAATAGTTGCATATGAAAAAAAATATTCTTTACCATCATTATTTTCCACTTCAAGAAATCTCTGAATGAACTTTGCTTTTCTCTTCTCAGTTTGAGCTCCCATTGGTTTAGACAGATCTCTGAATGTAGCAGGACAGGACAGATCCAGAGTCTAATCATTCAAACAAACAAGAATGTTCAGCATCAAAAAAAAGTCCTTCAAATTCAAAAGTTACAAGTTTGGATGCATGTTAATTTTACCTCTGATTCATAATCAGCAATGATCCACGGGAAAACAGGATATTGCATCAAGTCATTGTATGTCCGTCCAGCAAGTGTGTTGAGATGCATAAGGTATTCAAAGTTGCTTATTTCTCCCCTCTATGAAAAAAAAAAAGACAAATAGTGTCAAAAACAGAAAAAGTAAAACAAAAAAGTATTACATTTGCAAAGAGCTTATGTTTCTATAACTGCATTCAATCAATTTGCAGGATTCAGGATGTATATCACAAATGATAATGGTTAATAGTGGTAAAATGAACTGAAGGCTCCAACCTGCCATTTAATTAGGCCCGTCTTCTCAACTGCTGCCACCCTTCTGTATAAACACAGGAAAGAAGAATTTGAAGACAAATATTTTATTGTGAAGAATTTGCCATATATATATATATATATATATATATATATATATATATGATTTGACCTTTTGCGATGTTTCCTTCTAATTCTTAACAGTTACAGAACCAAGTGCCTTGAATAAGGATTCAGAACTAGTCATCTGAACCAAGTCTACTAGCTGCACAGCAACAAGTTAAGGAATAGAAAGAGCATATGTTTCCAAGCAGGCACATCTCTCATCAGACACGGGGCAATAGAAACATGTACATTCTTATAGAAATAAGGGTTGAGATTTTTTTCAGTCATGTCAGTCCCTTCTTTAAAGGAGTAAATAGTGCCATCTATAGGTTTTTGAAAATGACTGTAAACACATTATTAAAATATTATTACCTTGATAGTTTGGCTGCCCCTTCACACATACAGTATTAATGAATTTCAAGATTTCGAAGTGTGACTCTCAAAACAAGCAACCCAAACATGCAAAATCAAAGCTGATTTGACATGCTGATGGCCGGATTTACACCACGACTATTGAAACTGGTTTACAATTTTCACCATTTATTCCCATTATGTAAATTAAAAGAAAGAAAGAAAGAGAGAGAGAGAGAGGGAGAGAGAGAGAGAGAGAGAGAGAGAGAGAGAGAGAGAAAGTGAGAAAAAGAGAAAGAGAAGAAAATACAAAGTTCAATTGTGGTTAATGAGTGAAACTATTAACGTCCTGGAACATTAAGGAAATGTAATCTGAGGGACTGTAACTGCGCAACACTCTTTCTCGCCTTCCTTTTGTTTGCTCTCCGGTCACAGGACGATAAAACTCTTGGCACCCCACGCAAGTGTTGCTTGGTAACAAAAGTTAAACAGGACAAAGCTTCTTTTTGGACTATAGTCTGAAGATCCTCCCTTGATTCTCAAGCACTTCAGTTGTGGACCTCATTTAAAAAAGGTGAGTAAAAAAAAACTTATTAAAGTCCTTTACACCAGAAAGGGGATAAAATGAATCCTGGATAACAATAGCTGGTTGAGACAAAAATTATATTTTTTACACACTTTGGTGTAACCCTTTTAACTTTAATCGTTTTTGAAAGTCTTGTGAAGCTTAAATGACAAAAGTGTTATGGTTAATGATAAACCTATAAAATGTGAAAAATGTGCCTACGGACTGAACCTAAGTGGCACAACTAGCAAAGTTAGACAGTGAAACTTAATTATCACGGTGTTTATATACTTTTTCTATTACAAAAAAAAGTCACTTCATTAGCAATTTGGATCATATTTTAAAACAACAAATTAAAAATGAGAATGCGTCTGAGTATACAAACTCTTGTTTTAGTTAAGCATATTATATCATTGGTACAACATTCAAAAAAAATGTTTGTATTAATGTTAATTTTGAATACTCTAAAATACTAAACAAACAATTGTTAGAGAGGTTTTCAAAAGTATATTTTGGTTACAAATGATGTCTGGTCTTAAATCATGTAGTCATGACATCTATTATATTCCATATGTCAAGAAAACAGCAACAAATTTTCTCTCCGTTTGGAGGGTTCAGAATCAGCGAATCACAAACAACATGAAGATGGATCACGCCAATGGTCAGCTCTCTGTAATTGCACCTCTCGGATGCAATGGATTCAAAAACAAAAGGTCTAATAGAAACAAGATGAACCATATTAGCCCATCTACCAATGTGATTAATGAGTTGCCAAAGGGCTTACAATGCAGACACTCCTCCTTTTTAATGGGAAGATATGAAGGGAGCGAGTTTAAATCTCTTAACAGTGTCATTTATCAAAGTACTGATTTGACTCTCTTCACACAGTCACACGGACTGCTAGCGCCGCCCTGGATCAATCAGATGGAACACAAACAGCTTTTTCCAGAAAATCTTTTGGCCGTTCGTCGTACCCACTGTTATCTGGTATTAGCCATAATTAGAGAACGACATTATCCTAAATTTTCCCTTTAGGGTGAGTTGGGTGAGTGAATCGGGGTTGTAGACATCACACCCCTCTCATTCGCCCCCCGATACTGCCTGCGGGCATACATGAAACCTCTTTCCCTATGCAAACAACTAAACTGTCGCGTCATTAAGTCATACATGTTTAAAGCTACGAGGTCTTGAGATAATAATTACATGACTTGAGTTAAGACTTAATCAAATTGATGCTTCCGAAGCGTTTAACCATTAATCTGTGTTTGTACAGCTCCATGCCTAAAGGGAAGAGAGCAAGTGGAGCCAAAGGTACAAAGATAACATTGAAAATGGCCAAAAATGCTTTTAGAGTAACTCCAGATGGCAAACTACGACTTGATCTGAGCAACGTAGGCATCGGCACCTTTCCCAAATGCCTCCTGAAGTTAAGAAACATCGAAGAACTTGACTTGAGCCGGAACCGATTGAAAACAATCCCAGAATTCATTAGCCAGCTGACTGGACTGCGTTGGTTAGACCTTCACAGCAACCAAATCGAACAACTGCCTGAAAGCATCGGACTCCTGGGGTCTCTAGTCTACCTCAACCTCTGTAACAACAACCTGGACTCTGCTGGCTTGTCGCCTCAAGTAGGACATCTGAGAAACCTCCAGGTTCTGAACTTGGGAATGAATCGTCTAAAAGCACTACCGCCCACCTTGGCTGCCCTGACAAACCTGACAGAGCTGGGACTTTTTGATAACTTGCTAACACAGGTACCTGATTGCATTCAGGTGCTGCCCAACCTGACGAAGTTAAACACCAAACGCAATCCTGTGGCCTACGCACAGCAAGACAGCAAAGATTCTGAGTCTGTAAAGATGAAGGGAAGTCTGTATTTGTTGAGAGAAGGAGATTTGTGCAACCCTTGTCAAGAGAGGAGCAGAAGGAAAAAGCTGCTTGATAGGTCGCAAAGGAAGATTAATTTTTCAGGGCTGATCTCGCCAAACTCGGTAGCTCGAGGTTTTCAAGAAAATTGGCGGCAAAAGACTACTACCTCACCTCCAAGTTTTCACAGAGAACATGACAGACCTGCTGGAGACACCAATAGATTGTCTTTCATTAACAATTTTTAATACATAATGACTATTTTAACATTTGAATCTACTCCTGAAATGTTACTAAATAAACTGCAGGTTTTGCAAGGGGGTCCACTGAATATTGTTTGATCTCAAGCTTACTTGTGTGGGGAAAAAGTCCATTTATAACAAGTTTAGAAGGTTCAGCTACAGTAGCTGTTTCATTGTGCCTCCAAAATTAAAATGTAATGTACCAATGTATGAATTTGTACATCAATCATGATTAATTAAATATGTAAATACATTAATTGTCACTAGTAAATGTTTTTATAGGCCAGGTTTTAAAATGCAACAGTTTTTCACAACATGCTCAATCTCTCTACCAAGGAGTCTTTTAATTTGTACTATATACAGTAAAAAAAAAAATGCATTATATTTCCGACTGTAATAAAATTGGCTTTGAAGCCGATGGAAAACGATACTAATATAAAGTCCATTCCCTCTTCATCAAGTCAAAAAGTCAGGGGAACTAAACATAATAAAACTAAATTGAGCTGAAATTGAAACGGTGAGTTAAAGAATGGTAATTTGAAACAAAACAACAACTAAAATAACAAATAGGTAGAAAGCTTATGGCTCCCTAGCAGACAATTAAAAACCATACAATTGTGACTATTGGCAGCTTATGACTTCGAAAAGTTACTGAGGCTGTTTTAATTGGTAGAAAGTGCTGAAGATGCAGTAATTGTAGTTTCCGTGTAATGCCCGGATATTGTTGAGGGGATTGAGAGTCTTCCTGTCAATATTTAACCGCACACATATCAAAATGTCTTTTCTGGAAACTTTGAAACCACAAAACTCTGTTTCAATATGAAAGCATCACATTCTCTCCAACTGAAGAGGCAGCTGTCTGTGAGATCTGGTAGATGCTTTTGACACTCACCTCACATTAAGTACAGTCTCTCCCCTTCCCTTTAATGAGGAGACCACAGAGCATAGTCTGGAAAGCAGGACAAAGAGAAAGAGAGGAAAAAAAAAAATCAAGATAAATCAATTTAGTCTGTCACCTCGCACACAGTTCTTTACCTGCCTAAAACACAAGCACTATCTCGCTTTACCTCTTATATGCATTGATATGGTCATTGTTGAAGAATACCAGGAACACCGAAGTTCCGTTCTTAAAGAATATTTCCAGAGCGTTGTCCTAAAGCATCATCGAGAAATGAAACCAAAAACATTTTAAAAACAACAAAATTTAAACATAATGGCTAATAACTGCACCAACTACTATGTATGAAATTCAGAAACAAAGGTACAGAATTTGGGCTGTAAAATAAATATATTTAACAACAGAAATATCTATGGGTGCTGTGAATCTCACCTCAAGCAGAAAGCGCATGAAATTGGCCTCTTTGATGTCATCATATAACCTGCGTTTGCAGCTCGGGCTCAATGAGTTTTTCTCTTTATTCATCATGTTGCAAATATATGAGTCTCTCACACTATAATAAGTACAGAAAAATGTAAGATACTGTTGTATCTATAAACAAAAAAACATAAATAAAGCTGCTCTATCTCAGTACAGACTTTTTCTCTTTATTAACTATGAATGTTAACCTTCTCATTTATCATGCTTTAATAATAATAAATTATTACAATCATATACACAAAGCTTTTTTTATTTTTTTTAAATAAACACTACCATTCACAGCCTTTTTTTAAAAATACTTCTACTCAGCAAGGTTGCATTAAATATATATATATACATATATATATATATATATATATATATATATATATATGGTGTTCTTTTTAACTAATACTCATTTATTTTTTTTTATTCTGATTCCCTATTTCTTTAAAATAGATCAGCATAAATAGATCAGAAAATTAAATTAAGAAAGATCATGTGACACTGAAGACTGGAGAAATGGTTGCTGAATATTCAGCTTTGCCAAAACATACATTAATTAGATTATATAATAGAAAAGGGTTATGTTCGATTATTTTACAATATTACTTTTTACTTTAATTACCGACCCCCAACTTTTGAATGGCAGTGTGCCGTGTATGTATGCATGCATGTATATGCTGAAAGAAAACAGTTGCTTTACTTGGTCTGATGATGGATTCTACAGCACACATCTCCCGTGGAGGTCAACGTGAAGCCTTCACATATGTAGAGGTTAGCTTTCCCAAACAACAGCACTCCTTCAGTCACCACGTGACCACTGACGACCACCACGCAGTGTTTGGCTTTGACCTGAAGTATAGACACATATGTATCAAGTAGCTTACACGGGAATCCGTATTGTCCATTGAACTGTCTAAAATAAAGCTGTAATTTGTTTTACATGCTGCCAAAATCAATGGATGAGTAAACACGATGTCAAGTCAAGTTTTCAACAGTTGTACGAAGTGTCACTGCAGCCTGCCTTTTGAATTGTGCCCTGGGGCTAAGGTGTCAAAGAAGCACCACCCTGGCCTTGATTGATCACTGTTACCACTTCATTATCTAAACAACATGGTGAAAAGACAAAAATTAAAGGGAGAAAAAGGCAAGATGCTGAATGGTTGGGGTGTTTGTGAAACAGGGCCAATCGTCCGCAGGCGGAGTTCGCACGAAACCTCTCGATTATGCACGGCTAATTGTATTGTCTCCCTTCATTTCACACCAAGCAGCTGCACCTGGCCTCAGCCCTGAGTCACCGGGACTCTAAGCTCGGGGGATCCGCGTCCCCGAAACATATGGGGTCCAGCCGTACTGCCAGCCGCTCCACAATTAATACAAATCAAATCAGAACCTCCTCTCCATGCAAGCGCCCCCTCACCAGAGCAGAGAGAGGGCCCCACTGTTTATTACCAGAATTAATCAATGACACAGCAACAATAGCAACACACTAATTGATTAAGGCCCTGTTTAAATATATGGTCCACCTGGTGGGGTTTTGGTTTCAGACAGAGCTTTAAAACTGAATCAGCCCCTGACCTGAGTCGGTCCTAATTCTGTCTGGTCTTGGTGATTTACAGCAACAACTTATTACACCCTGCTACAAAATGTTTTTAAGAGTGTTCGGTGGTAGTTCACATTAGAATTGATACACACACACACACACACACACGCATTCACACACACACATACATATATTCTCTCTCACACACACACGTATGTATATATGTGTAAAAGTATGTGTGTATGTATGTGTGTTATATATATATATATATATATATATATATATATACCGTATATTACATCTAGAATGAGCTTTAGAAATAAACAGTACTTTAAATTACTACAATTCTTATTTCTCTTTAGAAATGATATTAATAAGTATAAAAAGCTGGAAAAATATTGATATTTATAAACAAATTTACAGTTTTCAACCTTTCCATCAGATTTGTTATCTATTAATCACCAAACCGAGCACAATAATGTAGAATATTATTAATTTCCTCTTATCTTATTTATTCCTATAAAATGCCAAAAAAGCCAAAATTAAAATAAAATAAAAAATATCATTATAGAGATAATGAGAATTTATTAAATATAACTATTCCTATCAATAGGTGCAAAAAAAATGTTTTGTTGTTATGAGAGAACAGGAAATGATGGGTATAGGAGAAGGATTGGGAAATTAAATGAGCTAGATTCAAACCACAGCTAAATGTGTCAGCATATGCACTAATCGCCACACCTAGGCCCTGTATAAAAGCAATAATTAACAACTCGTAAGATTGCATCTGTGAAGTTATTTCCTCTTTGAGTAATAATGAAAAGCTAAGCCTCTAAGGACATGGTGCCTGTAAATTACAGTCATCGCATTGCCTCTGGAATTGAGGCGTAGGCCGTGTCAAGTGTTTGCATTTCTGTATTAATAAGTATGGAGAGGGCAATTCGGTTGGCACGCAGCACAGCAGGACACACCACCTACTGAAAGAATACAAGACAGCAGACATCACCCCCTACTGTTCCTTATTAATACTTCTGTCAGCCACTCTCTGCCCTGTTAATGCTGAAGAGTGCTGTCAAGCTCAACACACACAATACAGCCATCCACACTTAAGCTCAGGAATGTTTTGTTTTTTTCATAACAAAGGAATGTGTCTCCAGTTGAATATTTGATCATTCTCACCTCTTCAGTGGGTTCCAGCTCCTTCAGTATGAGCTGAGTGTCCATGCACTGATCTGAGATGTCCTCGGGCAGAAGCGAGGTGTCGTTCAGTACGGGGAAAAAGGTCAAATGCTCACAATCTAAACCAGGCTCCTCATCAACCTCCCGGCCTGCCTCACACAGGATCCTGGGGTCTGGGACACACATTAAATATACGCACTTAAAGAGATGTGCAGATTCAGCTTTTGCTGTACATTATAAAACATGTTATAAAGTTGATCATAAAAATGACATGAAAAATATGATACCTGAATCAGCCTCAACAACTTCAGCAGCTCCTTTGCTTTCTTCAGAGAAATTCTTCTGAATAAGGCCCGAAGTCAGTGTTGGCATCTATTTAAAATAAATAAATATACATAAAAATAAATAAATAAATTATATATATATATATATATATATATATATATATATAAACAAATAAAGGTTTTTTAAATATATAAATATATATGAAGAGTTCAGATGCAAAAGCCTCTAAGTGCCATTTGAAATTTTCTTCTAAAATGATAATTTTTATCAAGCTTGTATATTTAAGTTCAGTAATTTCACTTAAATAACAATTAATAGGTAATCTTCATTGCCATTTAAGTGAAATTACTGAACTTAAATATACAAGCTTGATAAAAATGATAATTTTAGAAGAAAATTTCAAATGGCATTTAGAGGCTTTTGCATCTGAACTCTTCATATATAAATATATTAGGGCTGTGCAAAAGTTAATTGCGATTAATCGCATCCAAAATAAAAGTCTGTGTTTACGTAATATATTTGTGTGTGCTGTATATAATTATTTTGTTTATATAAATAGACACACATGCATGTATATATTTAAGAAAATATGTTATTAATATATAAAATATTTATATTTATATAATATAGATTATGTATTTATAAATATATACAGAATTTAAGCGCAAATAATTCTTAAATATATACATGCATGCATAGGTATTTATATATACAAAATAATTATATAAAGCACACACAAATATATTATGTAAACACGGACTTTTATTTTGGATGCGATTAATCGCAATTAACTTTTGCACAGCCCTAAAATATATATATATATATATATATATATATATATATATATATATAAACTGTTTATTTTTTATTTATTTAACAGTATAAA